TTGTGGACCCCAGAATCCCAATATCTACACCCCTAGCAGTGCTGACCTGGCTCAAAAGGTCTTGCCTGGGTTTGCTTTGAGCCCATGCAAATCTCAGCTCCCTGCGGATGTAGGACCCCAGCCCCATTAGGGGCTGGTGTTACCCCCAGCATGTACCCTTCCCCCCGACTCAGACCCAGATGCCGGGCAGCAGGGCATCTAACGATAAGTGCCTAATCAGGCCTGCAGTTGCCTCCAGCTGAGCTTCACAGGAGGTGGTGCGGGGCAGACACTCCAGCTTCCTGCACTACCAGGAAGCCGCTCAGCAGACTCAGAGTGGTTACCATCTCATGGGTGGGCAGGTCTCTCTCTCCCCTCATCCTCCTCCCTCTTTCTCACTCCCTTTTGCTCTCATTCCATCCTTAGAGGTTTTTACAGCCCGGCTTGACAAAGCCTTGGCTGGGATGATTTAGTTGGGGTTGGTCCTGCTTTGAGCAGGGGGTTGGACTAGATGACCTCCTGAGGTCTCTTCCAACCCTGATCTTCTATGATTCCATGATGATTCTATAGTCTCCCCATTCCTTATTTTCCTTTTTGGAGAGGGTGACTTTTCCTCTTGGTGATTTCAGGGATGGGGGAGGAAAATATTCTATTTGCTTTGGTTTGTTTATTCATCCGTCTGGTGCCCTGTGGTGCTGAGGGAGGGAGTCCTGCCTGTACGTCTTTCTGGAAGATGCTTAGTCAGAGCCACGTTATTGGCTCAGTACAGGAAGATGTGAGGGAAATTCTCTGGCCGGTGTTAGGAGGTCAGACTAGAGGACCTAATGGTTCCTTCTGCCCTTAAAATCTGAGTCTGTGAATGATCTCAGGTGTATTAAGCCGGGAAGGAACACGTCTCAAAGACACGTGCCATTGACGACAGTGGTTGGAGACGTAATCTTGTTTCTCATTTGCAGCCTGGGCTACAGGGCCGTTAGGTAGCACACAGGCCATTCTGAAATATTGCTAGCCTGCAAAGGAGAGGACGGGCGGCCTGGGGGATCTATCTAGGTGCCTACGTGGACCTTGTCACTGTAGTATCTGACAGGTTTCAGAGTAACAGCCGTGTTAGTCTGTATTCGCAAAAAGAAAAGGAGTACTTGTGGCACCTTAGAGACTAACCAATTTATTTGAGCATGAGCTTTCGTGAGCTACAGCTCACTTCATCAGATGTATCTGAGCGTCTCACGAATTTCATAATCCACTGTAAAGGAGGAAAGTATTAGCCCCATGTTAGAGAGAGGGAAAATGGAGGCAGCATTTTCTACTGGATAGTGCACTGGGCTTCAGGAGACCGGGCTTCAATTCTCACTTCCGCCAATGGCCTGCTGGGCGAGCTTGCAAGTCACGTTTATCCCCCTGCCTCAGTTTCCCCATCTGTAAAATGGCGTTGGCACTAAGAACTTTGGGATCTAAAGGTGTCAAGCGCGGGATAAGAGCTAGGCACTGTCAGGAAGTGATGTGCCCAAGGTCAGTGGCAGAGCTGGGAATGGAGGCCAGGTCTGCCGAATCCTGCCCTGGAGTGAAGCTTCTCAGCGGAGCAGCACCTTTCGTCAAACTAAAAACTGTTCACAAACAGTCCTTATGTTGACTGTGAACAATGTGTCAGTGATGGCACTGAGCCCGAAGAAGTGATTTGGGGCGGTGTTTGAGAGGCAGAGGACACGTGACCTTTAACGGCCGGGGAAGAGGAGAGTGAGGTTTTCTTCACTTTCCATTGCAGTTTGCCGCTTAGTGGAACTCGGAAGCATGTCTCTCGCACCCGACAGAAGTTTGTCCAATAAAAGAGATTATCTCACCCGCCTTCTCTCTCTTAGATTGCAAGGACATTTTCAATGCCTGGTGACCCGTCTCACACACGCACCCCACCCCCTCCCAGCTTTGTGACTCATCAGTTGAGATACATAATGGCAGTGCCCCCTCGCTAGCCTCAAAGGTAGGAATAAGGCACTGGAGTGGGAGTCAGGATAAATAAGTTCAGCTCCCACCTCTACTACAGACTCCTTGTGCGCCCATGAGAGTTAGGTGCTTACATGCCTTTGAGCATCTGGGCCTCAGATCCCCGTCTGTTAAATGGGAAGGACAAGACTTCCTTTCTTCCCCCACCCTCCTTTTTGGGCCGAGTCTGTCCCTCCCAATGTGTTTGCACAGCTCCCCACACAAAGGGCCCTCCTGATTATTGGCTAATGAATCCTAGAAGCTCCTTTCGGACCCCGTCTTCTCTAGCTCACTCTTCCCCGCCCACCAGAGACGCTGGATCTTTTAACAAAGGCACGTTCGCGAGGGTCCAACTTAGCTCATCTTTTATTACTTAAATTAAAACCAACAAAACCAAAATCCAAACAATTCCATTCCAAATCAAATGGCGGTGAGGAGTGTTGTGGGGAGGGGGGATGTTTAAAGACACCATCTTGTTCCCTCTGATGTCGGTGGCATCGACATCTGCTTATGTGACAGCTCCCAACTTGGGTGTACGCACCAGAGATAGAACCGGGGACCAAAAAGCATCAGCATCCCTAGCTGGGGCTGTAACAAACTCTGTGGAGCAGGCACAGACGGGCGTCTGTAATATACCCTCCCCAGTCGGTTACAATTAGAGCAAAGCTGATTTTTGCCCCATATATTTTTTGCTTGGGGGCAGGCATGCAGGCAGTGTGTTAAAAATTGAAGGGGGTTGAAATCAGGGAAGCTACTGCAACTGACACCAGCTAAGTCTTTGGTCCACCATGTTACCCTACGTGGAGAAAATGAATAGATGCGCGGAGCATTCAGTTGAATGCTTTTGTCAGCATTCTCAGCTGGCCCCTGCTGCCCTCCACCCCTTCCCTGACTCGTGTGTGCATATTGTGTGTGTGTGTGTGTGTGTGTGCACAAGCACATAAGTGTGTGTGTAAGTGTGTGTCTGAGCAAGTGTGTAAGAGTGTGCATGGGCGCGGTGAGTGTCACTTGGCTGAAAAGGGGCACATCATTTTCATACCCCCAACCCCGATGGCCTGTTCCCCCTGGCTCCCGTGTTTCCTGGGGGGATAGGAAGAGAGACACATGACTCACGCTGCTCCCCAATTAACAGTCACACATACCCTCACATATGGAGCCCTCCCCACTGCCTGCGAACCTCAGCGATGAACCAATCCCCATTGAGAATCCCTCAGGCTTTTGACAGAGAACCCCTTTCAAATGAAGCAATGCTCGTTAATTAAATGCTTCCTCCATTAGCACACAGAGAAGTCCCGGCTGTTAACAGAGGCGCCCTTCCATTAGGGTGACCTGCAAGGGGGAGGGGGGAGGAAATGGGCTCCTGCACCTTTATGATGGATGAGGCCAAAAAAGCTTTAAAAAAAAAAAGAAGAAATGTTTTCTGCTTGTTTTTTACATTAAAAAAAACTCATCAACATCATTACCATTTCTGGTATGAGGTAGCACCCATAGGCCCCAGGCAGAACTGCAGCCCCATTGTGCAGGGCGCTGCACAGCTACAAACCAAAAGCTAATCCCTGTCCTAACGAGTTTACAGTCTGGAGTTGTCAGGTGAGGCAGTGGGAGCCAGCACCCTCACTAGTTTTAAGATGGTGCTTAATACGTGTATGAAGGGGATTATCTGCCAGGGTTGCCTGTGAAAATAGGGAACTGGACGTGATGACCTGGGAGGTCCATTTCAGTCCCACATCCCTAATTCAGGTCCTGTCTAGGCTGGAAGACTCTATGGTGACAGGAGATCTAGTGAAACAGTGACATCACAAGAGCTGAGCAATTAAAAGGGTAGGGATTTTTTAGACACACTGTTAAAACTCTGTCTTTGTCAGCACCTGTTTAACTCTGATGCCTAACGAATGTTTTGAAGAAAGGAATCCATTGTTAATAAACCACCCCATTAAGTTATTCCTGCTCACAGTACACATCCCTGAGTCCTCCCAAAGGTAACACCACAGAAGATCAGACTTTATGGCTGAAATTTACAAAAGAGCTCAATTCTTATTTAGGCACCTAAATACATGGGGCAGGTTGGGTGCTGAGGACTTTACTTACATGCCTATCCCTGTATGGGTGCTGAGCGCTTTTGTCAATCTGGCCTGGATTGTGTGTGCTGAAGAACTGGAAATCTGTCCCTGAGCTATTTTTAAAATTCCTGATATTAATAAGGTAAAAAACTAAGGAGAAATTAAAAAAAAAAGGTTTTAAAGTGAGGGAGGGGGGAATGTTCAGGGTTGTTGTTTTTTCCCTCCATCATAAAGAAGCAAAAACTATAAAAGGCCCAAGGCTAAATGCAGGTCAATGGTACCATAAGAGGCCCTGTCAAGAGAGACGACCAATTAACAGGGAGCCCCTCGTTAAAAGACGCCCCCTCCTGTGTTTTAAACACAAAGGCCTCGTGAAACCCCCCCACCCCGCTCCCTTAACTCATCATCATAACTTAAGACATAAATATAATTCTTACATTTCTAGATTAAATACACGGGGGAGGGGAGGCGGGGGAGGAGGGGAAGGTGGAAGCTCCTCTTGGTATCTCCGTATAGTGACTGGTGGCCCTCCTTTGTAAAGTGGGTGGAGGACGACATGGGTTCTTTGTATCCTCCCCTCCCCCATCTGACCTGAGGGCAAAGGTTCTGATGCACCATTTAGGGCCCGATCCCGGCAGGGGCTGAGTTCCAGGGCCCCAATCCATCAATGCACCCGCTGAACACCAAACTCATGAGTAGTCCCATTGGCTTTGCAGGATCAGGTTCCCATTGCCCAGGATCAAGCCCTCACGGGGTTGCCCCAACTGGGAGATGATTCCTCCCACACACACACACTTTGGTCAACCTTAAGTAACTCCTTAGGAAGACGGTGCCAGTGGCTTTGCGAGCGATCCCGGCCAGGTAGGACAAAAGGCTCAGTAAGTCTATTCACGGCAAAGAAAACAACATGACCTGGGGATTAGGTTCAAATCCCAGCCTCTGCTCCATGTGACCTTGCATCAAGGTCATTTAACTCTCCCATGCCTGCGTGGAGCAGAAAGCAAGGGTTCCAAGAGGATCCTGTCCAAGAACCCAATAGGTGTCTGCATCTGAGCCGCCACTTCCCCCAGGAAATAAATTATCTCAGTGAGAGGGGGAACTAAACAGGAGGAGGAAGAAGAGGAGGCTGGAGGAGAAGCTCCACCCCTAGGTTAGATCTCCAGCAAGCTGCTTTGCTCAGGGCTGGTGGTGTCTTTGTCGTCGTTGGCCAACCCATCCTGCAAGGCTGCGCCTGGAGAGCCACCGCCGGTGGCTGTCTCCTCCCTTTCGGCTTCGCCCTCGGCAGGCTTGGCTGCCCCCATCTCGGTGTGGGTCTTCTGGTGCTTGCTGAGGTGGTCGCTGCGGGTGAACCTCTTGTTGCAGAGCAGGCAGGTGAACTTCTTCTCCCGGGTGTGGGTGCGGACATGACGTTCCAGCTCATCTGAGCGGGTGAAGCGCTTGCCACAGAAGAGCCAGTTGCAGACAAAGGGGCGCTCGCCTGTGTGCCACCGCAGGTGGGCCTTGAGGTGGGAGGCCTTGCCGTAGACCTTCCCGCAGCCCGGGATGTGGCAGCTGTGGATGGGCTTCTTCCGCAGGCTGGCGGCTGAAGCCCCGAGCCGCTCCAGCTCCTGGCAATTGGGGCAGTCGCACGTCGAGCGGCCGGTGCTGCTGCTGAAGGTGCCGCCACGCGGGGCCTTCAGTCCGATCCCGCCTTCCATCAGGGAGTTGTTGGCCACAGGCTTGGGCTTGTACATCTCCTGGGACAGCATGTGTTGGCTGGAAGGGAGGAGGTGAGAGGAGGAGGTGATGCCCACGGCCGGGTACGGGGCAGGGTTCAAGGTGGTGAAGTCGGAGCTGTAGCTTGGCAGCTGGGGGCTCAGGGATGTCTGGGCCGGCACAGGCTGAAGGGAGCCCTGGAGGCCGTCCGACTGGGGCTGGGCACTCAGCCAGTTGGTATTGGAGTGCACGTCCCACCAGGAGGCTGTGGCATTGCTGGAGCTGCTGGAGATCCCAGGATGGATCCCAGCTTTGTACCAGGAGCCGTAAGGGTGCGCCATATCCAAGGAGGTGTAGACGCTGGGAAGGCACTCGGCCGAGGGGTGGCCCTTGGACACCAGGAGGGATGAGGGGTCCTGAGAGCCGGACGAAGCTGGAAAGGAGTGGGAGAAGGGGCTGTAGTCATTGCCATAGGTGGTGGAGGCTTGCGGGCTGGCCGAGGAGGACATCAGCCCGTTGCCACTGGGGAAGGCGGCCGTGTAGGAATCTCCCATGGCCTCGGAGCTGCGGAGCTTGGGGCTGGACTGCTCGGCTCCCAGCTGGTACAGTTTCTTCCCTAAAAGGTTCCCCGCTTTCCCCGGCGTGGCCGAATCCCTGATTGGACTGGAGCCTCCAAATTTATTGCAGGTGGCTGTTAGCATAGCCAGGGGGCTGGAGCCATAGCGAGCGTCCTCCTGCAGGGAGGGAGAAAGGAGGGCAAGGCGTCAGCAAAGGGAGACAGGATTGGCATGAGCTCAGTGAGGCCTTCAGCAGCTAGGTTTGTACCAGGCCAGGCTGATTCAGGGGGCCAGGACATGGGGCAACACAAATGCAACACAGATTCAGAGATTCATAGATATTAAGGTCAGAAGAGACCATTATGATCATCTAGTCCGACCTCCTGCACTACGCAGGACACAGAATCTCACCCACCCACTCCTGCGAAAAACCTCTCACCTATGTCTGAGCTATTGAAGTCCTCAAATCGTGGTTTAAAAACTTCAAGGAGCAGAGAATCCTCCAGAAAGTGACCTGTGCCCCATGCTACAGAGGAAGGCAAAAAACCTCCAGGGCCTCTTCCAATCTGCCCTGGAGGAAAATTCCTTCCCGACCCCAAATATGGTGATCAGCTGAACCCTGAGCATGTGGGCAAGACTCACCAGCCGGATACCCAAGAAAGAATTCTCTGTAGTAACTCAGATCCCACCCCATCTAACATCCCATCACAGGCCATTGAGCCTATTTACTATGAATAGTTAAAGATCAATTAATTGCCAAAATCATGTTATCCCATCATACCATCTCCTCCATAAACTTATCGAGTTTAATCTTAAAACCAGATAGGGCTTTTGCACCCACTGCTTCCCTTGGAAGGCTATTCCAAAAGTTCACTCCTCTGATGGTTAGAAACCTTCGTCTGATTTCAAGTCTAAATTTCCCAATGACCAGTTTATATCCATTTGTTCTTGTGTCCACATTGGTACTGAGCTTAAATAATTCCTCTCCCTCTCCGATATTTATCTCTGCTATATTTATAGAGAGCAATCATATCTCCCCTCAACCTTCTTTTAGTTAGGCTAAACAAGCCAAGCTCCTTGAGTCTCCTTTCATAAGACAGGTTTTCCATTCCTCGGATCATCCTAGTAGCCCTTCTCTGTACCTGTTCCAGTTTGAATTCATCCTTCTTAAACATGGGAGACCAGAACTGCACACAGATGCAGCACAATAGGGATAAGCTCCCACTGGGATCAAAGGAGACTCTCCCCCACGTCATTGAGAACAATGGAGAATCACCCCACATCCCCAAGATCTGCATTTAACTGAGCCACTGCGGTGCCACATGGGAGTTGTAGTTCGGTGCCTCCTGCTCCCATTCTCTGTTATGGACTGTGCTCCACAGAGACACTACATCTCCCATGATGCCTTGAAGTCATGGGATTCCTATGATGCACCAAGGCCAGCCAGCATCTGACTGTGGTGCATCATGGGAGATGTAGTTCAGCCAGCAAGCCATGCCCAAGAAGGAGAACGAGGGCATAAGGCACCCAGAAGGCACCGCAGTGGTTCGGGCAGATGCAGATTAATGTCAAACTGACCCTAAACTAAATATTTCTTTTGATTTTTCCAACAGATTTAAAAAAAAAAATTGGCTAAGTCAACATTTTCCCACACAAAATTTCCATTTTGCAGAAACCACATTTTCCGTCAAAGATACATTCCAATGTTAAAATTCCCAACCAGCTTCGTTGTTTCATAGTAATTGGAACACCGCCCTACCCACCAAGTGGTGCCTTGTGGGAGTTGTAAATTCAGGTGTCTGACACCCCCATTCTGCCCCCTGTGGACTGGGCTCCTCAGCTGAACTAACTTCCCATGATGCACAGCAGTCATGGGAACTAACTTCCTATGATGCATCATAGCAGCCCACAAAGATGATTGGGATTTTCAATGAGAATTGAGTTAGGCACTCAATTCCCACTGAATTTCAATGGGATTTGGGCAGTTACAGTGTTGCCAACTCTCTTGATTTTAATCACAAATCATAAGATATTTTATGTTTATCCTAACGCCCCAGCTCCTGGAGTCATGTGATTAGGTAGGAATCTCAAATACATCTAAGTCCCTTACCCTCCTCTGAAAATCCCTGCCTTAGAAAATATATAGTGTGACTCATAGATGCATACATTTTAAGGCCAACATGCATCATTAGATCACCTCTAACCTCCTCTATGTCACAGGCCAGAGAATTTCACCCAGTCCCCTCCGTATTGAGCACAATAACTTGCATTTGACTAAAGCACAATCCAACAGAGACAGAGAAAAAATGAAGAGGTAGAAGCCAAGGAGAGTCTGTGATGCAGAGAGATACCAGGAGACTGCTCCAAGCAGCAGGAGATGCAGAGTAAAACATTCTCACACCAACAGTGTAAAGAGAATGTGGGACAGGAGGCAAATGCTAACCGAGAAGAGAGACTGAGAACTAGAGGTGGGCAGGCTTTCCCATATCACGAGAGTTTCTGAGATTTCCAAATGTTTTCCCATTCTGAATCAGGATGAAAAGTTGAAATCTCAAAAATTTTGGCAAACCAAGAACCTGAAAAAATGTCAGATTGATTTTGACCTTTTATTAACCCTTTACTTTTTTTTTAAAGTATAAATGCACCAAAATTTTGCAATGAAAAGTTGTTTCGAACTGAAAAACAAAACTTTTCATTTCAAAAATGTCGACGCTTCTATTTTCAATTTGTTTTCGATTCGGAAGATTTGTCGTAATCAATCCTTTCCCAGGAGCAGATTTCGTTTTTGACAAATCAGCATTTTCTGGTGAAAAAACATTCCCAATCAGCTCTAGTGAAAACAGAACACGTGAGATGTGGACAGGGCTTGGATTGGGCGGGTACGTGGCCATACAGCATACTCGTAGCTATCCCAAATTGCCTTTCTGCTCTCAAGAATCTCACGTTTTCGGCACAGTTACTATGTGTAACTGACACAGTCCCATCTGCCTGAATCTGCAGAGAGCCTGAAACAACAGCTGGGTGAGGTGTGAACTCTCTGAATAATAGTTCTGAGAGGTGTGGGCCAAGCCTATCATGCGGGTGGAACTTGGAAAATTCCCACCAATGTTTCTCTTATTCTCATGTAGCCACTGGTTGTGGGGTCAGATATTCAAGGGCTCACCAGAGGTGTCAATCTGAGAGGTGTGACTCCACAATCAGGACCAGATTTCACATAGAGTTTAGCCCTCAATTAGCACCAGAGAGGCTGAGACCTTTGGTGCCTAAATGGGAGCTGAGATGTCTTGGAAATCTGGTCTAGAGAGTGTGGCAGGATGGCTAGGGGTTAATTGGGAACTGGAGCCTAACTGAATGGGGCGGGTCTGCTTGTCAGTTTCTTCAGATCTGGGTCTCACCGAGTAGCTTGACTAATTGGCATCGCCACACCTTGCATCCAGCCCCTGTTCTTGCTCTGGGTGGTGCAGTTCCTCTGATCTTAAAAAATTGCTTCTCGCAGAGATGGGCTTGGCCAAAGGAACTGATCTGAGCAGCAGCACGAGTGGCTGGGGTTCTGCCCCCAGTCTGGAACTCAGCCCCTCTGCTGTTCCAGCCCTGGATTACCCTCCCTGGGCACAGCTCTGCTGATGCCCCTCGATCCCCACGGTCCGCTATGGGGCCTTCTGCGGACATGCTCCTTACTCCTGGCTTTCTTCTCCCCACTGCTCTTCCAAACCTTCGACCACCCTAGACACACAGCTCTGCTGGTACACCTCACTCCTTAGTCCAGTCCTGATCCTGAGATAGCTCAGAAGATAGTAAACAAACCAGAGTTGTAGTTTCATTCCAGTGCCCTTACCCAGCAAATCTCCCAGCACGAGCATAGTCTCATGCCTCTGTCCAAGCCACATTTCAGCCATCAGCAAGTTCTACGACTTGACGTTATCCTTGTAAATGAATAAAATTCTAGCCAATAGAAAAGGAGTACTTGTGGCACCTTAGAGACTAACCAATTTATTTGAGCATGAGCTTTCGTGAGCTACAGCTCACTTCATCGGATGCATAAAGTGGAAAATACAGTGAGGAGATTTATATACACACAGACCATGAAAAAATGGGTCTTTATCATACACATTGTAAGGAGAGTGATCACTTAAGATGAGCTATTACCGGCAGGAGAGTGGGGTGGGGGGAGAGAAAACCTTTTGAAGTGATAATCAAGGTGGGCCATTTCTTGCACATTTCCAGGAGTTAACAAGAACGTCTGAGGAACAGTGGGGGTCCGGGGGGTGGGGAATAAACAAGGGGAAATAGTTTTACTTTGTATAATGACTCAACCACTCCCAGTCTCTATTCAAGCCTAAGTTAATTGTATCCAATTTGCAAATTAATTCCAATTCAGCAGTCTCTCGTTGGAGTCTGTTTCTGAAGTTTTTTTGTTGAAGAATAGTCACTTTTAGGTCAGAAATCGAGTGACCAGAGAGATTGAAATGTTCTCCGACTGGTTTATGAATGTTATAATCCTTGACATTCTAGCCAATGTAGGTAGAGTTTCTATCATGTGTTTTTTGACTCCCAAAAGATTCTAAATCACTTTACTGCTGCCTAACTACTGTGTATACCTATGGCTGACTTTATCCCCCCCATTAAAATGCAGCCACCTCTGGGGTGGGATGTGCCAGATGTTTACCTATGGGAAGAAACACTTGCAGTGATTTGCGGCAGGAAGTGAAAAATACTGTGTCCATTTGAAACTGCAGGGGGAAGTTAGGGCAAAGCCACTATCACAACAGCTGTTGCTATGTAAATGATAAATTAAATAGGATTATTGTTAATATTGACCTGAGGATCTGACCCCAAAATTGAAATCTGGGCAGGACATTAGAGTAACACCTCAAACTTACAGAAAGCTATGTGCTCTGACCATGCAAAGAGTTAATTTTAAGCCATCAATAGTGTTATTCCCATGCCGGGAGTTCGAAAAGTTCTTAAATCTTGTCAGAATCAGTCTTCATGGCTACCTGCAGTCAGGATCGCTCTCAGATGTCTCCTGTGAGATCTGAATCAGAAGGGATGTGTGGTTTGGTTTACATATTACTCATGGAAGAATCACAAATACTCATGAATAGACCGTGCACCATTTTGGAATGTTGGCTACTGTGTGCAATTTCACACCCCTGCAACGTGTGTGACTTTTTTTT